AGGAAGAGCAGAGCGGGGAGTAAACAAACCTAAACTGGGAAAACTAAAGAACAAAACTTAAACCAGACACTCACGGGAGGAGGAACAAAATGCACGAAGAGAGATGGCAGAGAGACGCAGACTGAAAACCAGGTAACAGAATAATGCAGACTGACATGGAGTTAACCAGACAACGCGACAGAGAGCACAGGAAAACACAGGGCTTAAATACATGGGGAGTAATCAGGGAATGGGCCACAGGAGGGAGACACAGCTGGGAGCAATTAGGCTAACGAGACAGGGGAGAGGTAAAACTGAACACACTGACATGAGACATGAACTGTCAGAATAAAACAGGAAACTAACAGACACAGAGAACCAGACCGGACACTGAACTTGACAGGCAGACTCATGAGCAGACACAATAACACCATGGACAGACAGAGAGAACACAGGCAGGCATGAAACAAAAACACTAACACATAGCAAACCTAAACAAAAGACAAAACAGAATAACCGAGAACAAAGAATAATATAAAGAAACACAAAACACCGAGTCCTCAGACTCAGGACCATGACATACATGATCTTCATGATGACTAAGGAACTGGGAGAGGATCGGGATGTCATCCAGATACATGACCACAAAATGATTTCTAAAATCTCGCAGGAATTTGTTACCAGGAGCTGAAAAACAGCAGGTGTATTAGTTAGTCCAAAGGGCATTACCAGATACTCAAAGTGTCCAAGGTGAGGGTTGAAGGCTATCTTTCACTCGTCCCCCTCTCTAATCCTTACCAGGTGGTAGGCATTGCAGAGATCCAATTTGCTGAAAATGGTTGCGCCCTGTAACGACTCTCAAGCATAGGAAAGACGTGGCAAAGGGTACTTATTTTTCACAGTAAACATGTTTAATCCTCAAAAATCTATGCAGTGCTGAAGGGACTTATCTTTCTTTTCCACAAAGAAAAAAACAGCACAGAAATGAGAGGAAGATGGCTAAAAGAAACCTTCGGCCAGAGAGTCTGTTATGTATTTTTTTCATCATCTCACGTTTGGGCTTTGACAAACTCTACAGCTTACATGTGGGAAGTGGTGCGCTGGGTAACAGGTCAATAGCACAGTCATAGGGTCGGTGTGGAAGGAAAGACAAGACAAGATCCTTATGAAAAACTTCTGCTAAATCCTGGTACACAGGGGGCGTGGATGAGACATTAGGTGGGTGGTGCTTGTACAGTGAAGGTACAGGAAGGTAAGTTGGGGGCCGCGGATCGTAAACAGTTTTCATGACAAAACCAACTTCACCCTGGCACACAATTCTTTTACCAATCGAGGTATAGGGTGTGAGTTTGTAGCCGGGGGTGACGGAGTATAAACTGGAGTAATTGGGGCTTAAACACAAATCATATTTTTTCAAAGTGTTTCCTGAGATTGCGAGTGAGACTGGTTTGAGCTTTGTTTGTGATATCCGGCAGTTTATTTACATCCAAGGCGTGAATTGCAAAACCCTGGGAAGGGGTTTGGGAGGAATTTTGCGCGATTGTGCCAGGGTTTAATAAAAGAAGTTTTACTCAGAACCATAATCAATAAGTGCTTGGAGGGTGAAGGGAATCAAGTTTAGAGGGAATCAAGTTTAGAGGGGATCTTTTTCATTTCCTGTCAGTATCCCCACCGTTACTGACGAGCAGTCTCTTTTGGCCACATGGGGCAAGTGTGAATAAAATGGCCCAGGAGCACAGTACAAGCACTCACCCACAGCCAACCTCTTTCTTTGTTTGATGAGGGAGACACAGGTGCATCTGATCTGCATGGGCTGAGTTCTGTCCTCCTACATTCCACTTTTTCAGTTTGCCGCCTTGGAAAACAAGAAGAGCCCAGGGCATTCTGGGAAAGAGAGATTTTCTTTCTCAGATTTTCTTGTACATTATATTATATATAAGAATATATATGAATTACTGTGTCTAAAAGTTGTTATTTCCCTATTATCTTTTTGTAAATCCTGCAGAAAGAAAATAAGACCAGCTGTTATGTTTAAAAGCAACTTTTAGATACTCACCAACCTGCTTGTCACATCCATAGGAGTCAGGTTAAAAAAGGTCAACCTATTTTTTCTTTAAATTATTGTTTTATTAAATTTAATGAGCAAAATGATTTCGTTTTTACGAATTTCTGATGTTTTCTGGATAAAGCACACATACAAACACACTAAAACAGTGTTCACTTAAACATTATTATTATTCTCATCACTGGCTGGCTTCTTCATTACTTAGGCTGCTCAGCTGGTGATTCCTCATTTGTTATTGTTTTCAGTGTACCAGTGGATGTGTTCTGCCTTTTAGAAAAGAATCTGTTGACCTAACAACTTTTTGCATGCCCGAGAAAGTACTTGCACAGGTGCAATATTCTACCAGAAAATGTATTTTATTGATACCTTTTTATTGATACTTTTCGTATCTTGTCTTGTCTTTGAGAGTTTGCTGAAATGACAGCAGCACAAACATTTATCCAAGCATGCATTTTACTTGTCCTACTCACACTCTGTGGACACACTGCTTACTGTCAAAATAAATACAAAGGTAAGTGGCACAGAAACTTGTGCAACTGGTTTGTCATGAATACTTGAACATGAAA